CAGTTCATCATGTTGTCTTGTTTCCCCCGGTGAATTGAGTCCCTGTGAGTCTCTAGGGAGCAGGGACCAGGGTGTCTCCGGGCACGTGGCCTGCCATGTTAGTTTCAGGAATGAGATGACGGACTGAATGCATGTGTGCCTCTCCCTCTCTGGCCTGGAGGTCGTTCTAGGGGAGCTCACACCGGCAATGATTCCGCAAGGTTCCTGTAGAGAAATCACAGGTCTCTTTAAAGCAACTCAATTCCCGGCCTCTTCCTTCCAGCCCCTGTGTGTTATCACTGAGAGGCAGGGAGGTGTTTGAGAAAAAAACATGGACTTTGGAGTCAGAAACTCTGGGTGAGTCCTGGTTTGGTTACTCACCAGCTGTGTTGACCTTTGTTTTCTTCATCTGCAAAATGGGGCTAATAATAGTAATAATAATCCACAGAGGGCAATTTTGTGGATCAAGGAAGTTACAGCCAGTGGCAAGAGTGTGCAGATATGCTCTCTGTCATCCTCAACATGGGGGTTGGTCAGCAGAGGACCAAAATTTCAACAGGTGAAGATAAAGATTTTCCCCAGCTGGGCCAGGAGTGGAGGGACAAAAGCAAACTTCCTCTACCTGTTATCACAGGTAACAGGTTCTGAAGATAGACCTACAATACATACCTCAGTTTCCCCTCCCTTTTCCTGCCAGTTACTTGCCTGGAGGTCAAAAGTCATTACAAAGAAGACTCTTACATCTCAAAACACCAGATTACGGCTGATTCCCCACCCTCTGCCTGTTTCAATTGGCCTTTGAGGAATTTTGGGGGAAAAAAACACACAGGAGGAAGTCTTAAAGACACACTGGAACAAAGAGCCCTGCAGCCAGAATTGTGTTTTCAAGCCTGAACTCTGCCTCCATCCTTCTCTCTTGTTCCTTCCCTCCCTGGTCAGGTCCCTGCAGGACTCCGGGTGAGAGGCCAGAGACTGCCTCGCTCACTGGCCCTTGGCTCTTTGGGACCAAGGCTGGGAGGCACTGACTGTTCTGCTAGGGCAGTCTTTGGGCAGAAGCAGGGGTGGAGCAAACAGCTGACAACAAGGCAAGGGGCAGTGAGGCTGGAGCAGAGGCCTCCTGCCTCTTGGCTCTAAACCTTCGCCTCCCATCTCAGCCCATTGTTGGGCTGTACCCTCCCCATTGTCAGCCTAGACCAGATCCCCAGGTCCTGGAGCCCAGGGTTGGAGATGTGGGGTTCCTCCTCCCCTCCACCCAGGTCCTGGCAGTCAGGGTGAGGCTCGCTTGCATTCTGGGAAGGTTTTAATCTTTGCTCTTTATCCCTCTGTGGTCAGTCCTCACAGCCCAGCCCCAGGAGCCTGTTGGTTCAGAGCTAAGTCCCCCTCCTCTGGGGCTGCCTCAGGTGCTGGCTTTCCTCCTGCACTCCAGGCTGGGACACAAGGCCTGACTCCTGGAGGAATGTTAAGGTTGGGGTCCCCTGCACTGCCCCTAACTCTGCGTGCCTAATTCTCAGAGGATGGGAGGAAGAAGTGTCTTCACCCTTGCCTCAGATATCCAAGACCATGAATGGGGAAAATATGGAATTCAGAGTCAGGAGAGGGGTTTGGATCAGCAGGGCGGGTCAGGAGGCAATTAGGTTTGATTGATTGATTGATTGATTGATTAATGGAGTTACTGGGGATTGAACCCAAGACCTTGTGCATGCTAGGCAGGCACTCTACCACTGAGCTGTACCCTCTTTTTGGGCCTCATTTTTCTCCTCTGTGAAACAGGGATCATAGTATTTTACCTCCTCTTGAGAGGCACCAGCGGAAGTGATGTGAAGGCACAGGCCCTGTGCAGAAGGAGTGCAGGTGAACATAGCTCGGTCACTTCGTTTAGGAAAGGGTTTTGCACACTAAATGCTTTATATGCATCATTGAATCCTCACAACAATCGTATAAAATAGGGAAATAGAAGCATAGAGAGTTTCCATAATCTGCCCAAGGACCCACAGCCAGTAAAGTGGCAGGGGTGGGACTATGGGATTAGAGCCAGTTCCAGTTTATCTTCCTTCCTCAGGGAGTCAACACACCCAGCTCCTGAGAGAGGAGGGGAGCAGAAGCTGTGCTGTGGGGCAGGTGGTGGAGTGGGGGATGCTTGAGACAGCAGTCCTCCTCCTGTCCTCATTATCACTGGCGTCTTCTATCCCAATAATCAAACCTCCTTCACAGATTTCTTGTTATTTGTTTATCCAACATTCATCAAGCACCTTCAGGCTCCAGGCAGTGTGCTGGGCGTTGAAGAGAAACAGCCGACCCCTGCACCAGCCCTTGGCTTCTGGACCATCCTGTGAAACCCAGACCAGCAGAGCACTGACAAGAGTGTGTGAGGGTGGTGGTACAGAGGTAAACGCAGGCGGCAGAACACAGACAGGTGCCCAGGAAAGGCCCCTGGAGGCAATAACATCTGAGTTGAATTCTGAAGGATAAGATGTAATTGGCCAGGCGGGCTGGAGGGGAGAAGTCTGTCTCCAGGCAGTGAGGCAGATCAGATCCATAGGTAGTTCAGCAGGGCCAAGAGGCCTCATGGCGTGAGAGTGGTTAAGGACACAGGTGCTGGGGCTTGAATCCTGGTCATACTAGCTAATGTCTCTGTGACTCAGTATTCCCCTTGATAAAATGGGATTAATACAAGCAAGCCCTTAGACATGCCTGGCGCATGGTAACTGCTCTCTCTGCACTGGCTGTTATGGTGCAGCTTCAGCTTGTGTGAAATGGGAGACTGTGTGCGCACGTGTGTGGTTAAGGATGAGGCTGGAAGGGTAAAAGCGAGCCGAATTATGAAGGGCCTTCTAAACTAAACTAAGGACTGTGAACAGGGAGACAATAGGGAGCCCCTGAAGGCTTTATTCCCTACTCACTCATCTTGACAGGTTCTGACACTTACCCCCGCCCCCCTCCCCTGCAGAGTGTTCTCACCTATGAAGCGCCATCTCTTTCCTCACTTCTTTCCCCCTGCTCACCATCACTCACTGCTCTTTGCTCAAAATTTGAAAAATCACCATGCATTGAATGGTCGACATAGGGTGGCAGAACCAGATGGCCTGGGATCCTGGTCTTAAAAACTATATCCGGTTTCATTCCTAACAAGCCTCACTGTGCTTTCAGGAGCCTGAGGAAGGGAAAGCAGGAGGAGGCTCTCCTAGCAGGAGGGTCCGCATCCAAGCCTATTCTTTAAGGGAGCCAATCAAGTCAGCCTCTGTCACTTCACTTTTCCCCATCTAAATGAGTTAATATAGTCTTCTTGAGAAGAGATGTTAATTTGACAGGCTGGCCTTCATGCTCCTCTTTGGCCTAGCCCAAACTCTTTTGCAAAGTACCGGGATGGCCATTGCTAGCAGAATAGAATGTAAACTCTAGGCATCTCCTAAGATTCTTCATAATCCGTCCTAGTTTGCCTCTTAAGCCTTACCTCTCCTCCATTCCAGCCTTCCCGAAGTCACAGGACCCTTTTGTAGAAGTCAAATTTAACACCTGGATGTGATTCAACATTGTTGGGATCTTTCGATCACTTTACCTATCTCAAGAGTAAAATGAGATTCCTGAGTCTGGCACCGTTTCTCTAAGGGTGGGTTATAAGCTCTCCTCCTACTCCTTTGGCTTCTTGTCCTCTACAGAAACACAGGTTTCCCTAGCACTGGCTTGCCGCGTACTTAGAAACAGAACACCATCAACATGACTACCTTTACTGGGATATTACTCACGTACCATAAAACTCACCCTTTCAGCGTGTTTGTTATTCAGTGGTTTTTATTATATTCGAATTACTGTATCACCACTAATTCCATTTCCATCACGCCAAAAGGAAACGTGACCCATTAGCAGTCACTCTCCATAGCAACCACTCAACTTTGTTGTCTCCATGGATTTGCCTATTCTGAACATTTCATATAAAGGGAGTCATACAGAGTGTGGCCTGTTGTGTCCATGCCCGGCTTTGCCATGTACCCTTAATGAATCCTTGTATCAGTCTTGAGGTAGAGATTTCCCAGCTTGTGTCCCTGGCTTCAGCTGTCCTTTAACTAGCGACAAAATTGACAGTCTCCAAAACTGTTTAGGGACCTGCCCTCACCATGTTGGTCCCTGTGCAACAGGAATAAGAAGCGTGGGAGTGGTGAGCCAGCGTGGATGAAGCAAATTCTCTGGCACGACCGCCTAGGGTTAGTGTATCAACAAAACCAACATTCTGCAAACATTACTTAAAAGTATTTTTTTATTTAACTTTAATTTGAGGTAAAATACTTTTTTTCTTTCAACTTCCATAACAAAATACAGAGCTATCAGATACCCCTGGAAAAAATATGTATATTATACATATATTTCTATAACATTACATCATATATATAATATATATGCAAAAATTTCAAGACTTTATAGAAAGCGGGACATCTAAAAGGCACTGCACAATGGAGTTAAGATTACTTACATTTTATGTACATATACACACTTTATTCTGCTTAAGCGGATAACTTGAGAAAGTCACCTTTCACATGTGAATTCTCACAAATCCCTGCATCACAATTTTATAACTCAAAGATGCCTAAATATTTCAAAACAAATTAACTGATAACTTTTTTTCCCCCAAAAGAAACAAAAAAATGGAACAGTTGTTGAAAGATTCGATCAGTTCTTTTTCTTTTAAACAAAATTAAAAAGTATGTTCCATTACTGTTTACAAAGCAACTAACACAAACATAATTATGGAATAAATAAAAAACAAGGGACAAACAGCCGACTGACTACCCACTTGGTGAGAAGTGATATACTTAGTTTTTTTTTTCTTTTAATGCTTCTGAAGGTTTCTTGGCCCATGGAGGACTAGGGTGCAGTAATTCCCTGTGTATTAGTTAGCGAGCTGGGTTTAATGCAGTGCAGCTTGAAAACGGATTTGAAGGGACTCAGTGAATTGTTTATATTTCACTCCTAGTCTTTCTTAAAAATTAACAACCAAACAAAAAAAAACTCAGCAAGACTGGATGCCCTTTAAGAGATTTCTACTATTTTCTCCTTTATTGTCAAAAAAGCAAACAAGTTCACGAACAAGTTCTTGATTAATAAAATTTTAAGATTTGTATTTGCAAAGTTTTAAACATTTGGCACAGCAAAAGTTGGAAAAAATGGGGAGGGAAAATAGGTCTGGTGTTGTCCACCATTTTCCAACTGCTGTTGGACAGTGATGAGATGCTCACAGAAGAGAAAGGCCTGGCTTTGTGCCAGGCTGGTGACAGGTGCTGCCCAGAGTGGGCTGGGGGGAGAACTACCTCCCACACATTTACCCCAAGAAATACCAATGACCTTCACATTCCCTGGTCCATTTCCTGGGCAACCCCAAGATCGGCTCTGTATAGGCCTCTCCCAACCCCAGCCCCAGTGTGCAGTGCAAATCAGTCAACAATTTACTGATGGAATGGCAATCAAAGGAAACAGTTAAAACACCAAATGATTTCTTAAAGCCAAAAACATTTTTCATGGAGTTGAACATTTTCTGAGTGTGTCTTTTCAAGTGTAAAAGCAGTGACTTTGTTCACACAGAAGCAGCATCTAGGAATTAATTCTGGCACTTGGGTTCTAGGGGGTTACAGGTATGCATCACAGATTTTTCTCCCTCTTATTTTAAAAGGCCTCATGTTTCTATTCCTGAGTTCATACTGACCCCTGCCGGCCCTCTCCTCCAGTGGACAGAGAGGGTGGGCAGCCAGCCTCCCTGGTTAGATTGGGCAATGCCAAGCAGAGATACCTCTTCCACATGCCCGGGTTTGCTTTCTGATTCGAGGTAAGTCGAGGTACAGAGAAAGAAACCGACAAAAACACAGCCAACCAAAGGCAGTCTGACCAAAGCCTGAGTTGTTAGGGACCACTCTCCCAATCCCTTTCCCAGGAAAAGACTAGTCACTCATGGAATTTAAATCAAACAAGGGGGAGGACAGTTGCCAAAAAATAGCAGGATGGACTCAAGTCATCTTAAGCCATCCAATGACTCACTCACCTGCTCTAACCTTTCCTGAGCCCTTCTCTCATGCATGCACTCCAGTTTAAAAAGGATCCCACCCCCACCATTAAAAGACAATTCTCAAATGCTTATAGCATATGGAGTTCACTTAGGCTAAGATGGAGTCAGGGATTTCTCCAGTTCTTAGACAGCATCCCTGTGCCCACTCCTTGCCCTTATCAGACATTGAGTTACCTCTCTCCCTGCTGCCCTGCAGGTCTGAGCCACAGCTCGGTACTTCTGTACACTGTGTACTTCCATGTACACACACACAGTTGGCTGTGGCTTCTTTCTCTCTGCTCCCAGTCCAGGCCCCTTTAGAGTCATATAAGATCCATATTTCCCCATTCCTTTGAAGTTGATGGAAGAGAATTTCCCATGAAGAAACAATTCCTGGAGTCTCATGTAGGACGGTCAATTGATCATGAGAACCAGAACAATCTAGGGGAAGGGACACGGCAAGAATGGCAACACCGCAGCAGGACAGACACGCACTTTCACTCCTACCAGGCCTCTTGGCATCTGTCTGGCTGTCTCCTGTCCATCTCTTCCTTCAGTCTCAATAAACATCCACTTGTACCCCCAGCTACCTTCTGCACTTCCAGGTATCATTTGCCCTTAACTCCCAACAATCCTGTCCTTTTTTTTTTTTTTTTTTTACTCCTCACCCCAGTAACATCAAGGGGGGATGATTCAATACCAGCTTAAAATTTAACCATTTTCCGACATTCCTGGATTATCTGAAAAGTTGTCCGTGCCCTTTTACAGGTGTGGTTGACAGACCCGTATCACGCTGAAGTATGTTCATTGTTAAGGCTTGACTTAAGAAAACGATAAGGGAACCAGACACAACGGAAAGACATCTTCAACTCTGTCACGTCTCTCAGTGAACTCGCTCACCGTCACACTTTGGTTTGGCTCCCCAAACCCACGATGGAAAAGGAAAAGTGAAGATCATTTCTGTGTTTTTGTCTTTAAAGGCATTGGGCTACTTCCTCCTGCCCTCTTCTTTCTTCCCTGAACAAGAGTTTACAACTCCTCATGGCTTCTTAATAGGTGAAGTAGGTGAAAAGTCCAAGAAATTCACAGCAGGGCTTCCTGTCCCAACCACGCCGCGGCGGCCCGGCGCCTGTGCTCTCCCAGCCCCACTCTAGCTGGCAGTACATTTCATGTTTCCTGAAAACATTTTATGAAAAGGAAAAACAAAACAAAACAAAACAAAAACCAAACAACGACGGCAAAGGAAAAAAGAAAAAGAGCAACATCTGAACATCCCCCTGCCCCAGTAAGACTGAGATTTATCTTATTCCTCCCCTGAAATAATTATAAAGAAACATTTCAGGCAAAATACTTAATAGTCTCTCACTGCTCAACCTACCCACCACGCCCCCTCCCCTTTTATGTGTATCTTGCAGAGCAAAATAAATTCATTAATGGCTTTCCATACATAAATACAACAGGAAAGAAAGACGTCTGGAACCTGAACTATCACGGGACCAAACAGCATCTTGGCCCTCTGGGAGTTTGTCAGAAAGTGTGAGCCTCAACAGGGAACAGAGGCGCTTTCTCCTCTCAGTTCAATACCCTTTCCGTGTCCTACTCACCAGGAAAAAAAAGTGTTCACATCCCACCTAATTTACAACAGAAGACATCCCATCCTATCCCCAAAACATAAAAATACAAGTCTATGCCCCTAGAATGATCAAACCAGTCTAATTCCCTCCCCACCCCCCACCCTGAAATCTTGCTACATAAATACACGTGTGTGTTTGATTATAGTATAAACAGCTCCCGATTCACTTCCAGTTCTAAGCGTCAGCAGCGGCCGCTGCCAAGCCCCGGGGTCCTGACCCACTCCAGAGGAACTTGCCATTCTTACTCAGCTCCCGGGCTTCTGGGTCATCATTCCAGCGCCGCTTCAACCGGAGCTTGGGGGGCATCAGGGCATCTTCTTTCTTCTCAGGTGCACTGGGCTCTTTGCCAGGCCTGTCCTCACTGTCTTCAGTCACGTCTAGGGGTTCTTCACCTGGGATGCTAACAGGTACGGAGGGCCAGACAGGTGGCGCTGCTGGGCGGGCAAAGACGGTGCCTTTTTCCTCTTCTGTGGTCCTGCCTGGCACAGCGCCCTCCTCCTGAGAGCGCCCCTCCTCCTCGCGTGCTGCCTTCCTGAGACGCTCAGGATCCTTTTCAGAGGCTGGCTCCACCTTAATCCTCGGGGGCACAGGAGCCAAAGTGGGAGCAGTGACCGGTGCTGCTTCCTCGCTGCTCTCTACCCTCTCCCGGTTCTTCCGCCCAACGGGCGGGGGCTGTAGCTTGATGGAAAACTGGGTGGACTCCTCAGGATGCATTTGGCACTGCAGCGGCGGAACCATGAGCCCTGGGTAGCGAGGAAATGTCCGCGGACTCAGATGGTAGTTGAACACAGAACAGGCTTGAGAATGAAGGTAGTGTTTCATTTCCTCAGGGTTGAAGGAGAAGCAGCTGCTGCTGGTGAAGGGGCTCAGGCCTGGCGATGGGCTGTAGGAGAAGATGGTGGGAGTCAGGGAGAGGGCTGGTGAAATGGGGACATTAAGGACGCCTCCACGGCCAGGGAGCGGAGAGACGGTGAAGGGACTATGTGGGTCAGGGTACATCCCTGGCCTAGTGAAGAGAGGAAGCATGATGTCAGGCTTGCGTTTCTGATGGCCAATCCCTCCACCGACGGCATTCCGGGAGGACATGAGATCCACGCCCCGGCGCCAGTCAGCGGCTGAGCCATCCTCCAGCTCGGAAAGCTCCACCTTTCTATCGGTGCCATTGCTTGACTCCTGGCCAGAGGCAGCCAGCGAGCTGGCAGAGAAGCGCCCTGGCTGCACATCACTCGTTGGAGAATGGGTGTCCAAAGGTGGGAAATGGAACCGGGAAGAAGCTGTTGGCACTGGTGGCGCACTCTGGGGAACCACACCTGTGACGGTGGAAGAGACAAAAGGCCACTTTAGAGGTCTGGTCATTCATTATCAGCAGTCTTACTTATGCTACGTAAGTAGAAGATGTGGACGAGCAACAGGAAACCAACATTCCAGCTGGGCTGCCTGTCTCCTCAACTTCCTCTGCTCAATTTAGTTGCCACCTTTCTCCAGCCTCTTACTCCCTTTGTCTTCACAGTACTCATTACTATGTAAAATATCATTTTCTTGTTTATCTGTACTCTAAAACATAAATCCTGCTAAGGCAGGGACTTCCTATCATTTGTAAGTAGATTTTGAGCAGTTCAGGGCTTAATAATTAGCAGGGGCTCAATAACTACTAGTCGAATGAATAAATGGTAGAAGAGCCTTCTCCTCTGCAACTCTAACTACTGTGTATACATCACCTGCTTTAATTCTCAGCTTCGCAGTCTTTTGTTATTTTCACAACTTTGGCCTGATCTATAAAGCATGCAAACAAACAAAACCAACAAACAAAACTGGAAATGATGTGTATGTAAACAGTGCATTAAGACCCCAAATCCTGTGCCTACATGTGGACATGAATAAGATCATATTTTAAGAAAAACAAGGTTACAAAATACTAAGTTTGCTCCTTAAAAAAGTACGAATAACACTGCTTTGAATAAAGACCATCTTCGTAGACCCACTATGAAATCTTTAGTGCTGGAGATTTTGGGTTTAAATCTTAGTTCTAGCACCTTCTACCCTGCAGCTTGGTGCAAGCAACCAACTGGTTTTTGAACTCCTTTGGCAAATGGAAATAAGGCCCTTGCCTAGGTTCAAACCTTGGCCCTGCCACTTAGCAGCTGTGTTACTCTGGATAACTCACTTACCTTTCTGTGCCTCAGTTTCCTTACCTGAAACATGGATAACAGCAGGACCAATCTTTATGTTATGAAAACTACAAGAGTTAATATTTGTCAAGTCCTTAGACTAGTACCAGTATAGAGCAAATTGTATGTAAGTATTTGCACAAGTAACTTTTAATTAGATAACACTCATGGCTTAAAAATCAAAACTTTAAAAGGCAGATACCATTTAAATATGAACCATATATTAGATAACAGCATTAGAGCAATGTTAAACTTCCTGGGTAATATTATTGCAATTAAAGACGGATAATGTCTGTGTACCTGGGAGATACATACTGAAGTACACAGGGGTGAAGTGTCATGATATTCGCAACTTAATCTCAAAAGATTTAAGAGTATATGTAAATAGAGATAAAGCAAACGTTACTGATTAGTCAATCTAGACAAAGGATATATGGTTCGCTGTTATTTTTTCCCCAATTTTTCTGCAGTTTTCTAAAATAAAGATGAATATTAAATAAACTAGAGTGACAGGGAGGCAAGAAGTGAGAGGTCTCAAGTCCGTCCTTGAACTGGTTTGCCCTGCCCCCACACCCTGACAGGTAAGCATCTTCATCACTAGTGTCTTCCATATCTTTCCAATGTTACTTATGTAAGTACAGTATTAAAAAATATGTTAAAAAATGTATCTCATAGGATGCCCTTAATGATAAAAATGAGACACTGGATGTAGAAGTACTTTCAAAACTATCCAAATGTTAAGTACTCTACCCTAAACTGTTAACAGTGAGCAGGACTGTGGGGAAAAGAGAACAGAGAACATGCACTTCAGTTTTTACTTTGTAAACTTCTGGATTATTTGGATACATTACAATCAGCACATATTGCTTCTATTTTTAAAAACACACAGTTTAAAATAGCCCAACTGTATCAACCCACTATCTAGACATGATCTCTCTGGCCTCCAGGATCTAAATCCACACAGCTCTTCTTCTTAGAACACTTATCACGTTGCACATTGTATTCTAAATTGTATTAAATCTTGTGTATCTTATCTCTCCTGCTAAATTTTAAGTTCCTTGGAGGAAAGAACCCCTCCATAATCTTTTTTTTTTCTGTCTTTAGGGCTTAACACATTATCTGTTGAACAAATGAATGAATCCCAATCCAGGGGAAAAATGTATGATCTATCAAAAAAAAGAGCAAGATTTCAACAGCTCAATCTCTCAGGAATTGTTTCCTAGGAAAGTGTTCAACAGATAACCATTCAAAGCTCAGTGATCAATTTTTGACTTTGCAGCCATCCTTAATTTTATCATTTGTAAAACATGGATATTGAGATGTATACTTTACTGGGCGGGGAGAGCTGCAAGAGATAATTCACAAAAACTCTAGACAGAAGTACCTCCATTAAGTAGATGTTCAATAAATGTTATAGTCCTTTGTCATCACAGAAGTTAACCTGAAACAACATCTGGTCTATCTGGGTAAAAGTTCTCTATGAACAAATGACTCTAGTTCTTTGGGGTTATCTGTGTCCAGGATGTAAAAACCAAGCAGTGTGCCTAAAAGAAATGGAGACTGTTTTGCTTTCTCCATGATTTTTTGATTAGGATCCACGCTGAGCAACAATGTTGATCCTGTTAAGGATCAAGGTTGGTTCAACTGCCTTTAGGCAGAAAGATGGTGCTAGACTACCACTGTGGGTTTTCCAGGCCAGAGTCTTCAGACAGTAAGGGTCCAGATTTCCTTGCCCTGGAAAAGCACACTACTCCCAAGGGCTGAGGATGCCCCATTCCAGGTTGTCCAAGTGGCTGGACTTGTGGGTTTCTGACCGAAAAAATATGGATCCAAGACAGAAGAACAAGACCAACATACTGAGGTATACCCAGCTGGAGTCCAAATTCCTCTAAGGTACGTACATAGGGAGGGGACAAGAGTGAAAAATAGAGGAAACAAGATTCCAGTGGCTAGAACAGGTTTGATTTCCTAATGCCTCTCCCTCAGGCACAAGGAAAGAAAACAGGTTGTAATTAGAGAGATGCATTCCAATACCACTTTTTTTAAATGCATGCCCCAGGGACAGGAGGGAGTGGTTACAGGAGAGATGGAACTGTAATGATAGCAGCATCAAGCTAAAACTGCCCCAACTTGTTGTGTGTAGTAATTACATATCTGCAGTGGATCTCAGCACTATATTCTCTCAGCCACACCCCTGCTCTAATTCTTCAGTTTCTTCTAACTTTTCTCTGAGAACTTGTAATACTGTAGAATCACAATCAGATTTCTTTGCCTTACCATACAATGCCACAAAGACAGAGCAGTCATGGACTGGGCAGAAACTAGTTAAATACAATCTGTTTTCTTGGGCAGGAGTCTGATTTGCATCTTAACACAAACAAACGCTCTTATCAGAGACAGCCTTCTGCAATCCCAGAGAGACAGACCTAAAACCTCTGCGAGGAGCTGTGATGGAAAGCTGTCCTGTGGAGAGCCTAGAGGGGAAGCCTTGCTGCACTTGAGAGGAGAGAAGGTCAAGTGATCCCAGAGTCCTGTTCTCTGAGTAGCTGTTGGTGCAGATCAAAGACACTGCTTTCCACTGCAAACATATGAACCGCCCCTTTTCTGTGATCAAGGATGCTGTGGTTTTGATGATATTCACTTGATAAGGGTGAGCTTGGCTGTTTCATAGAAAATCGGAAGTGTTTGTAGAAACTGGTTCTTGTCTATGAAAGAGCCACTGGGAAGGGTGTTAAAACTCTTTGAGTCCTGAACTTAAGGATCAACATAAACCTATGGAACACCATTCCCAAAGACAACAGTATAATGATATCCAGGAGATGACAAATAACATGCAGAAAAGGGAACTAAATAAACAAACCAAATCTATCTTGATGCTGCAGAGTCTATCACTTCCTGTACGAGATGAATGAGGAAATCTGAGCAAGAATGCAGAGGGAATCCGGGGGGGGTCACATACTTTGGTGATTCTCAATACCCCTTAAAAATGACAGGTCTTAGACTTGGGTTTTTAAAATTCTTTTTCAACCCCAAATTCATTCCCCACCAAGAGTGTTTGCATCTTACCACTGGACCGAATGTTGATGAAGGGGTAGTTGGGCATCACCAGCTTGCTGAAGTTAAATTTGTAAGTGAACCTTTTCCCTTTTGTTTTGTGAAGGATCCTCTTGTTGTAATAATATCTGTAAAAACAGGAATGCAGGTCAATTTATCTTCCAGCTACTGACAATTTTTGTAACCACCATGATCAATAATTTTTGCCCTCAGTATTACATGCAACCCTTACTGTCATTCTTTTGCAGCCTTACTCTCAGGTTAGAGCTGGGAGCCCTTAGAGCTTACTTCCCATTCAATTTTCAACTAAATTCTAGTCCTTCTATAGACCTTTACAAAGACAATCTTGCTTTAAGATCCTGAACACCTATCCTAACCCCAGCCACCTTTCTTCTCCCTCTCTCTGTGGTTTCAATTCTTTAGTCCATTTCCTTCCTGTTCCGCTGTATGTCACTGCTGAGTTTCTGTTTCTGCCTTGCCCTCGCAGGGGCAGACAAACCTCTTGGGAGATCTGATGTGGTTAGTCTGGAGGCCTACGCTCAAGGCATAGACAAAGGAATGCAGAACTGTTCCATGGAGGCAGGTCAAACAATGGTATACCTTGATCTGGAAAACAGCTTGTCAGCTTGGCCTACATAACTTTCAAAAGGATGTGAGAGGCTCCAGCAACACTGCTGCATAGATTTTACATTCAGGGTCATTAAGGATGAAGAAAGGCAGGGGAACTTCAATGTACCTAGAACCCTGAGCCTTGACTCTACTCAGTGGCACAGGTTATACACTGCCTCCAGGCCCCGAAGGACTGAAGGCTTATGAAATATAACGATGGACCAGGAGAAAAGAGAACACGAGAAGAGTTACAGTGGTCAATCTGCAGACGCGCCAGACCCACCAGCGGACGGACAGCTGGCGGAGCTCGCTGGCGCGCTCCCTCAGCAGCTGGGGCAGTGCCGGCCAGCGCGAGCTCCTGCTGTGGGCCCGCCTCACTCTTTCTCTAGCTTCTTCCAGGAGAGGCTAAAGAAGAGAAACTCCAATAGACTTCCAACAAGGAAGCCTCAACTAATCTTCTGGATTATAAATGAGCTCCAATCCATGTTTCACCATACATTCTCACCCACTACGGAGCAGGATCAGCTGTCTGTCAGGACCCAGTGCTGGCCACGCTGGAGTTCCCCCCTACACAGAACCAAAGATACGCCTTTTCTCCTCCTGTGTCCATGCTACTCGGATTCAACAGCTCTTTTACTCCCACTTTAAAGCTACACATTACTCACTAGTACAGTCTCTTACCATCCGATACCTTTTTATCTGACATTCACCAAACTACTTAGTCTCCTTCCAATCTGTTAACACAAAGGATTTGAGGATTCTTTCCCTCACCTGAGGGCCCGGCTCAGCTTGTCATAATTCATCTGTGGTTTGCACTTCCTGCGGCCCCAGAGGCGGGCCACCTCATCTGGATCCTTGATGACAAATTCCCCGTACTCTCCCTGCTGCCAGGCGATGACATGGCGGAACTCCTCCTTCTGCAGCAGCTCCAGGATGAAGTGCCACAGCTGGATCTGCCGGGAGCCCGGGGACGACTCTGTTTTATAGGCCCAGTCAGGAAACTGATACCCTTTAATATGAAAAGGGTAAGATCAAGGTAGTCAGGAGCTAGGTACATAAATACCAGTATCCCCAACTTCACATTCCAGTGCTCAAACTCTCTAGAGCACTGTGCAAACATGCCACAAACACCCTTTTGGTCAGCAGGGGCTAACCACAACAAGGGAGAGGAAAGCAGAGAGAAGTTACCTTTCCTTGTAGCAATCATTAAATCTGATAAGAGCTGGGTAGCAGCACCCAGGTGTCCTAATTGCTCACCCTTTAAGACTGTACTAAATCTCACGCCCACTTTCTATGAGGACATGACATTTCCTAAGGGAACAAACAGGCAAGATAATGTTTTAAGAAAATACAACCTTACTGTAACAGGGAAGAACAAATCTAACTCCATATTGGATCTGTTTCTTTTACTTAAACCTTTGTATTCTATTGCTTTTGATACAAGTTAATCACTAAAGGGATATTGCCTATAAGCTTAAATTAGATATAATAGCCCATTGCTGGGAATCCCATCTCCCAGATAATGAGTGTTAAGCTAAAATACCTTTGTTTAGCTCACAGGAAACATCCTGACCAGGCCTACCTAGGAATGACTGCAGGAAGGAAGAAATGAACACATCCCTTTCAGAGGCTGAGAGGAACCAGGAAATGTTTGACTATACTCCCTTCCCTTTTAGTATAAAAGAAGCCTGAATTCTAACTCAGGGAAGATGGTTCTTTGGGACACCAGTCCGCCATCTTCTTGGTCTGCTGGCTTTCCGAATAAAGCCACTATTCCTTGCCCCAACAAATCGTCCCTCATTTTACTGGTCTGTTGTTGGACTCAGTAACATTACCCCCAAGGCTGGAATTGTGTCTCTAACAGGAAAGAGACACTAAAGTTGGGATAAGGATGTGGTGACCAGACAGGTTAATATACATCGACAGGAAACAAACCTACAACTGTCCTAGCAGTATCCACCCAGTCAAGAGGCTGTCAGTCACAGCGTGCCATTTGTGAACAGAGCCCAAGTGGAAAGAAAGGAACCAATGAGGAACATTCCAGGTACATCAGAGATGATTAACTTCTGCTCACCTCCACCTCCTTCTGGCTTTTCCACGATGCTACAGCCTGCTTTCATTTTCACCCTCCTGCTGAGAGATACAAGCCACATCAATTACTTTAAGGTGCTATTTATTCATTATCCTCCCAAGGTTTTCTGGCACAGCCTTTTCCCAAACTTCCTTTTCTCTGTCTTTCCCTCCTTATGTAACTCTCTTTTCTTTCAAACATGTCACCTCCAAACTGCTCATCCCCAAGTCATCAAATGATGGTCCTCAGGTCATCAGCTTCAAAGGCCATAATTATCTCTCACCTGACTTTAAACCACAAATTGTAAACACTGTCTTTAATACTTGCTTTCTTCCTCCTGACCAGCCCTTCAAGTGTAAAGAGAAGGGTAAGGTAAAATGGGTCCAAAAAGGCAGCCAAAACATGTCAAACAGTTTGTCTTGTATTACTAGACAGGCCCAGATGCCAAGATACACAAGCCTGAGTTCATCCAGATGTACCAGTTTAAAGAAGACAGAGGAAAAAAAAAAAACCCAAATCCATCTGATTGCCACTCAAGAACAAACATCTGATTTTGATTTACTTTCCTGAATTATGTGAGATGGGAAAAGGAAAACTCCTGCCACTCAGAAACTGCCCCTTCCTCCTTGAAAAACACCCTGGGATACAGGAAGTAAACACACTATACGTACAGTTACCCTATACGAGAAACACAGACACCCCACTTTTTGTTTTTAAACATTTTCTCTGTTCAATAGGAAGGGGAAAAAGTGGGCATTTCTGAGAACTTTCTGTTCAACAAGTGGAGGGAGTCTTGCTATGATCTGAATTCATTCCATACAGTTTACAGTTCCTCAATAAATTTCCTGTTCCTAGCAGCAAGCAGCCTTGTATCAGCGAATCCTTTAGCAAAAAAGAGGGAAGGGTAAAATTGCCAAAGAGAGATGCAGGCAGGAGAAGGCAGATCTACCCTCACCCAGGCAAGTCCCCAGGGTGAATGACAGGCCCTAAGTACCAACATCAGGAGGAGTCTGGCGGGAATGTAGGTGCCTTAGTGACCCCAGGGTGGGGTGGGTACAAATTCCTAATCTTGAAATTTCATCTAACCTAGGATTCCTCTAGATCCTTTGAATTTTTTTTCTCACTATACACATCAAGATGACCAGCAAGTTTTGGTCTATGAAGCTACCAGGGAATGAGGATGAGATAACACCCCAAAGGAAAGAGAAAACAAATACAAACACAGACACAGTTACATACATAAGATATACAATAAAAAGCCCCAGAGCTGAAGCAGGAGTTTCCTCTCCCGGCTGCTTCCATCTACTTGACAATGAGGGAGGAAAAACAGTAATTTCCCCACGGCTCCAGGAAGCTGCCCAGGACGCTAGCTCCCAGATTGCTCTGTCGGATCGCTACGTCTTTATCCTGCCACGGGAATGCCCTTCAACCACCACGGCTCGGGAGTCCAAACACCGCTGCAACAATGACTTGCCCAGGAAACTCTGACACCTCAACTCCTCGATTTCACCCATAAAGGCCTCCCTCCCGGCAGCCTGGAGGCGCCTCTCCATGCCTTTCACAAATTCACTCCGTCCAAGTAGGGCCACTCATCTTAACTCTGCAAAACCCAGCAGGTCCCTGGCTCTCCCTCGGACCACTCCCCAAAAAGTGAGGCTTGCAGAGTCTAGAGCCGTGAATCCCCGCTGCAGCTCCCGGCCCCGGCTCCCGCAGCCTCCGGAGCCTCCTTCCATCTGCCTCCAGGCCGGGCCTCCCCCGCCC